CAAGTGTTGCTTGAGGCCATAAGAGTATAGACGGCGATGGATTGGGACTAGGCTTGAGAGAAGTTGAGTTCCACACGGTCAAGGATATCATGCAGGATGCTAAGGCTAGAGAACAATGCACGTGGAGGTGAAGGTTTTCATATGGCATACACATGGTGTTGTGTGCGTATGGAAAGATGAGTCAAATTTGGATTGGAGTCGAAGTTTGGAAAGATTGGAGTGAGGAATTGTATGAGGATGTTGTTTCCCTAGTTTGTATAAATAGATGAGGGATTGAGACTAGAAGATATCGATTTTTTGGGAGAGAAAAGTTAGGGTTTGCTTCGAAGATTCAATCCTAGTTCGTGAGTTGAGAGTGGAGTGCTTTAGATGCTCTTTTAAACACATATTGATACAATAAAGTTGATCTACTTTCAAGAGTTTCATCAGTTTGTGTTTTTCTGGATCTTGACGATCTAACCGGATTACAATGGGCAATTAGACAGGCGGCGGCGCCAAGTAGGCAAGGAGATCGATGGGTGGTCACACCGATGGCGAAGCGGCGGTCCAACCAGTGGCAAGGCAGCGGTTAGACCAGTGGCGGACAAGCAGTCAGACCGGCAGCTATACTGCGGTCAAACTGGAGATAATCTGACGGTCAGACCGGAGTTAATCTGACGGTCAAACCGAGCTACAAGGCAACTTCATCAAGTTAGAAGGTAACTTTTATTTCCGCTAAACGTTTTTTGTTTTTGGTGTTCCTACCATTCACCTCCCCCCTCTAGTAGGCTTGGTTCTTGTGTTCGATCCTTCACATAGTAGAGTAGGAGGCAACTCCTTGGTAGTTGGGGAGGAAGACCCTTACTTGTATCATGCCAACTATGTGGAGAACACCGCAATCCCGTCCCCCTCGCCCCCCCCAACCCCGCACACTAAATTGCATGTGAACTAAAGATGCAAAGGTAAACATACAATTGCAGGAGTAAGGACCCTTCACTCACCATAAATACTAGTGTCTAGGTTAGATAGGATGGTGGGACCAACGCCTAACTTCATGAACATGATCAAGGCTTATGGTAGTATGACTTATTTTTTTCATCCTTGTGAAAAGTCAAATTATAAATTAATCCACGTGTATATTGAAAACATGTGAAGATGCCATTTACTCTACATTTTAAGCCATTGTCCAAATATGATGTGGAAACTATTATATCTCGTTTGATAAATCAAAATAAATTTAGACAACTATTATCCGCTGATTGCTACTCTCACACGTTCCTTCTGACATCCTAGCCAATGGAAAAAGGTATGAACATCGAAACTAACATATGGATATGAGACAATAATTTATTTTAGTCCCACATTGCCACCTTGAGAGAGGTAGACACAAAGATATGGATGCAAGACACACACATACTTACGCCCCTAGAAATAAACCAACATGTAGGGAAAATAGTATAAGTAGGGTTTATGCATGTGTGTGATCTATTGCATGTAGTATTTGGCCTAAGATTTTTGAGACATGGAGCATTAAACAACTTTGATGTAATAAAATCACAAGGAATATAGTTAGCCAAACACCAAAGTTTCTATATGCAATTGCACCAACAAATTACCATAATTCAATCAACTCCGAAAGGGAGATTCAAGTCACAAAGTACTAATAAATTTTGCAACAAATTGTTTTCCCTACTCTTCACTACTCACACTTTAGGCCTTATTTGGATATACTAAAATGTTGGCCCATTGCATGCGCATCTTCACTTCTCCTTCTTTAGGCCTTATTTGGATTGGCTAAAATCATGGTCGTCCATGAGCATGTAACCAATATTATAGTTTAATACTTGGCCACTACATATGCACAAGAAGGGATAGAAGCCCCATCGAAATAAAACCTTATTAGGGTAAATTACCAGTGGTCTGACCGTCGAGAGCTCTAATAGCGGTCTAACCATTAGCCTCGGGATGAAGGGGTTTTTGGTCCCCAATGGCTAGATTTGGTTGGATGGGTACGGATAATTCGCCCCTATTGTACGTACCAAGGGAACTCTAACACTCTTAAGCACTTAGCTTCCATTTGAGAGGTGAGAATTAGTTGAGCCAAACCAAATACATTGTATCATATTAAGCAAGTGTGGCAATTGATCAACATTAAGAAAGCGCCATCCACTTCTAACTCTAGTAGGTTGTTGCCTCATAAATGGCTAGGAGTTGTGCCTGTAATTTCTTTAAGAAGGCTATGGAAAACCCTGAGGCTTTGATTATGAAGGTTTTGAGCCCACCTACCTAAAATTAAGGGAAGATCAATCTCTAGTGATCAAGGCCCACAAAGCTCAATTTTAGAGCTAGTACTAGACCAAATTCATCTTGTGCCGGAGATCTAGTGGTTTGGTAGAATGGTCAAGCGAAGCTTACCCCCATAAGTCAGAAATCAACAAATTTTCGAACCTAAATGCATCGGATGTCTATCTTGCGCTCATTATTTTCAACATTAATTTATGCAATTTACATTCCTATAATTGAATTGTGTACACATCATCACATGTTTGCAAAATTGACCTAAACTTAGGTTGTTGGTGCACTAGAAGAGACCTAGGCATTGGATCTTTCATGGAAAACAAATGTAATTTTAATCCCACATAAAATTATTTTGGCCAAATGAGTTTTCAAAAACCTCCTATATATTCAACAATGGGCGATAAATGAAGGATGGTTCCACTCACTTGCTTTGTAGGACTGATGTGGGCGCTTTGGATTAACGGGGGTGTGCATATGATAAAAATATATGAACTATAGGTAAATAATATAAATACCCCCCCCCCCCGGGCCGCCCTCCAATGTAGCTCTACCCCTATATTCAACAAAAGGGACACTTCGAACTTTGGGTGACATCCATTAGGTGAGAGACCAAAAGTGAAGAATTATAAGGTCCAAGTGATATTCGTAGGAGGTACACATATTTTATAGTAGTATTTATTAGTACAAGCTAAAAACTTGGTATATATGAAATTTTCTCTAACTTATAGATACATGTCCCTTGCATAGTCAGTACGTATAGCACCAGCGTGTTTTCATTATGTTTTGTATATATTGTAAACGATTTATACTATCGCAAATGGTTATTTTATTTCGCAAGATCTCTAAATGATCTACTACATGTAGTAATTCACTCCCAACCACTTAGAGAATCAATAATCGAAGACATTTAATTTATACAGACTACTCAACTGCTAATTTGTCTAAATATATAATGGTCTGGAAGTCACTAATTATAGTTTCTAATTATAAAACACAAGAAGACAACTTAATTACAGATTGACTACATCAATATCAATCCAAAGGATACTATCTGGTGTTGATCTTGGAAAGTTCCACTAAACTGAATATTTACATCTCATATGGCAGCAAATACTAAATATAAAAAATCACTCCAAACTGTAAATCATCCACAAAATGCACATCAAATCATAGATAGGTCATCTTGCCTCAACTGGATATTCCCTGTCCTCAATAGTACTACCACTATATATAAGCACTACCCCTAATTCCATTACCCGTATTATATATGCATACAAACACATTATTGTATCACAAATATTTTGACTATTGTATGTGGGTTTACATTCTGAACTGGAATAAACTGGTACTAGGTCACTCGACAAACATCTGTAAACAAATTCTTTCTGGAGGTTACTTTTAACAAAATTTCGGCCCTTAGCTCTCTAGCTATATTCCCGGTTAGCATCCATGTGTATTATACACATGTGTGCAAGCGACTTTTTCTTTTTGAGAACTGTGCAATCGAAATTCAAAATATAATATATATATATATATGATGTGTATGTGTGTGTGTGTCGACAGTGTTAATGAAAGAACGGATTTGCATATCATCTAGAAACAATTCTGTTCCTACATAAAGAGATATCCAACGGAAGTTATTAAAAGTCCAAGGTCAGATCATTTCAACGGGTGGTAATTAAACTGGTAAATGAGCTACTTGGATTTTGGGTTCTATTGTATTGGATGGTAGGATAAATTAAACCATAATAATACTACTATGAAACAAGCACTTGTTTCTTCCTAACTTATATCGGCGATTCTATGTTTCTCTGAAAATAAGCATTAATTTCAGCAAGTTCGTCATTGAACTGAAACTCTGAAAGCAGAAGACAATTAACACGAGAACATTGACCCAGCTCACCACACAAAAGGCACAAATTAAAGCGCTCGACTACTCCAGATCAAGAACTGAAGAAGAAGAAAAATAACAGCATCACTTACTGCAACTCTGCAAGCAGCCAGATACAAGAAAGCATTTTGCCCGGCCGGAGCGCTCTAAGGCCAGTCACAATGGGGGTTTCACTGGTGTGTCATGCACATTTAATAGGGGTAAGACTGAATAAAAAATGATTATTTGCATGAAATGGGGATGAGAGAGAAGGAAAGAGTTTCATCCTGGTGAAACTCGTCAGCGTCGTTTCCAAGTCCTCGGTAACAGAGTGAAACCCCCGTTGAGGCCGATTCGTTTCATTCACCGGATCTCTTGCGTCCGCCTCCGCCGTGCGACCTCTGCATTCTCCCGCGCCGCGCCGGATTTTGGGTACAAATGATCCCAGCAACTTGTATCAATTAAATGCTTTGCTTAGTCTTGGAAACGTCAAAGTGAAACCCCTCCACTGTGGGGATTGTTTCATAAAAGATTTCATTTGAGAGAAGATGGTATAATATTTTGGGTAGCCGTGCAATGACACTAGCCATTGTGACTGGCCTAATGGAGCGTGAAAATAAAAATAAAAAAATTGAAAAAAAATGAGCGGAACATGATTTTTTTTAAAAAAAACACACTAAAGAGGCTAGGCGTGCAGCTAGCCTTGGAATAGTCAAAATCGAACCGAGTAATATAATACCCAACGATATTTGAATATACCAGTCAAAATGACAAAATCGAGCTAAGGTAGCCAGTACTACTATACACTTCAGCAAGAGTTGAGCAGATTCAACTTCAAGGGGAAAGAGCGTACGTGGCGGGCGCGGCGAAATGGTGGAGGCGGTCGTCGTCGGAGCAGGAGAGGACGACGAAGCCGACGTGGGCGTCGCAGAGCACGGCGAGCTCCTCCGCCTTCTTCTCCAGCCCGGCGAGCCTCTTCCGGAAGCAGATCCCGCCCGCACCCGGTCCTCGATCCGCCGCAGCACCACCCGCCCCCGCCTCCCCATCCCGACCTCCCAATCCGACGCGCCGGAGCCCGGAGAGGCGCCCCCTTATGTAGGCGGAGAGACGAGGCAACCACGGGCGGCGGCCATCGCCGTCGCTTTGCCGGATTCCCGCGGCCCCGCCGCCTCCCCACCGGCGGGGCGGGTCGGAGAAGAAGATTCTTTTTCTTTTTCTTTTTTTTTGGTTTGGGAAGAAGGGAAGAAGATTCTAGAAGCAAGATCGTCTCGGTTCGAGTTGAGTTGGGAGGATGAGCTCGCGGGCCCTCGAGTTCCGATTGGCTTCCTACTTGGGAAAAGACGTGGGGCCCACGAGGCAGAGAGGGAGACCGTGTTGAGAAGTGACGTGTGTCGCATGCACTTGCAGCTTCCAAGCAGCGGCGCTGCACTGCACGGCGGCGCCCATAGGAATGATACTGTACAGTGTACACACACCTACCCCTCTATAGAAAAAAATCAACCCAGAAGGATGTTCCCTCTTAGGATAATCCACATTCATTGTTGTAGCAGGGATAATCTAGATTTATTGTTCTAGAAGGAATCACATCCCCTTCTAGTTTAAGTATTTTTTGGACGGAGGAAATACAATCCAGAAGTATTTGTTCGTTTCCTATTTTCTCAACTCATCTTTCATTCTTTCTTATTTTTCATGTGCATGTTTCTTATATTGTCAAATGATTTTTTATAAAAAATATATAAAAGTTGCTTAATTACATATTATCACCTACTAGCAATAATTATATATTTAACCACTTGCAATCATATAAATCATCTACAATTTATTTAATTCTAAAAATTAACATGCAAGCATATCTAATCATCATGCATCACATCATTTCCATAATTTTTTTACAAATCTATCTATCAATTTTATAATATTTTAAATATATTTATCAATATGTTACACATTAAAGTGTTGGTATCATTTGTTTGTTTCATGATAAGTACTAATAAACCATGATATTTCATTATTTTTTTCCTTTTACTCCTATCTTGATTGTAAAAAAATATATTAAAAATTGCTTAGCAATTTTATCAGCAAAGCGTAGGGAATCACCTAGTTAGTATGTAAGTACTTTAGGGGATATAAATGTATTAATTTTCTAAGTTTGTGATCTAAGTAATACCCATGTTTATAGCCGTATGCAAGCCTAAGATTGAACTGCTATCAATATTGCATTGCACTCTCATTGAAATTAGGCTAGATAATATATTTGAAAAGAACATATAAATGTTAAGGCTTTTGTTTTGGATTTGAGTTTGTTTAAGACAATGAAAATAACTTCCAGTATTTACACTATTTGTTTATCTACACAAGAATTTAATCATATATAGGCACTGTAATTTAAACCCTGACACGTGAAATAATACATCCACTTAATGCACCCCCCCTCGCCCGCACCTTCTCCTCACTAAGCGCGATTAGGTAGGTAGTTTTATATTTAAGGCCCGTTCTAAAAGTGTGTTTAGAAACAAATGATTAGCTATATGTAAAACGAGAAACATAATTAGCATATGATTAATTCGGTATTAATATTTAAAAATTAAAAAATGGATTTATTTGATTTTTTTTAAAAGAAACTTCTTTATATAAAGTTTTCGTACCAAATATATTGTTTAACAGTTTGAAAACGAGGAAGTAGTCAAGCCAAAACATAGTTTAGAATGAGCCCTTAAAGTTGAAAGATTCGAAGGGTATTTTTAAGTTTTGTGTTAAGAATTTCAAATTTAGAGTTTAAAGATTTTTTAAAAAAGTTAAGTTTTAAGTGAAAATTTTATATTCGAGTTGAAACATTTAAATTTTGAGTTAAAAGTGTAAAAACCTTTTCAAATTTTAAGTTGAAAGTTGTGACGCCCCTCACATAAAAAAGAGAAAAGACAAAAAGAAAAAGAGAGGCTAGCAGTCCAGCAGACCGACCCTTTAAAGCAGCAAACAGGCAGCCCAGTACTGTACTGTACTGTACTGTAGCAAATTTAGTCGCACCTGGCTCGCTAGTTTGCTCGGAAGGAGAGCAGCTTAATTACTCCCTCCGTTTGTAAATATTTGACACCATTGACTTTTTATCACATATTTGACCCGTTCGTATTATTTAAAAAGTTTTATGAAATATGTAAAACTATATATATATATATAAGTATATTTAACAATGAATCGAATGATAGAAAAAAATTAATAATTACTTAATTTTTTTGAATAAGACGAACGGTCAAATATATTTAAAAAAAGTCAATGGCGTCAAATATTTAGAAACGGAGGGAGCAGAAAGGATGGAGCCCAGTCAATATTAATTTCTGTTTGAATGTTTTTGCGTCACTCCCACCTATTAGTGTGTAGTAATTAGTTTAGGGGATATAAATGCATTAATTTTTTAAGTTCGTTATGTAAGTAATAACCATGCCTATAGCCCTATGCAAGCCTAAGATCGGACTGCTATTACATTTCACTCTTATTGAAACTAGGTGAAACCCCGCGCATTGCTGCGGAAATTTAGTATGATAACAGTAAAAAAATAACGTGGAAGATAGCTAGATAACATCAGATTAAGTAAATTAATGTGCTTTATGATAATATAAATTTAAATAGTATATAGAATGATGATTCAAACGTAAAAGGTAAGGTGGTATGACTTTATGGAACAAGAAAAGTAGAGAGATAGTTTGGACCGTAGATTAATCATCTAAAGGCTAAAAACAATTGATGTGATATGACTTAATTAGAGGAAAGAAGGAGAAAGATATTTTGGACCATAGAATATCATAAAACATAATAAAGATATGCATTGAAACATTATATGAATTATGTTGGATGATAATTTAACATGTTTGTATTTAAAAAGCTCTTAAATTATAAAAACTATAAGATATAGCATGTTTGCATGATGTTTAAATGTGATGATTGTTAGTGGATGATGATGTGGCATCTTGTTAATTAGTGGATGATGATGTGGCATCTTTGCATGTTAAGCTTAAGGAGTTAGTGGGGGATAACTTTATAGTAAGATAGGATTAGGCTATATAAATTATTTGAAAATGATATATAAATGTTTAGGGTTTTGCTTTGGATTTGAGTTTGTTTAATCCAGCATTTACACTATTTGTTTATGTACACAAACATTTAATCATATATAAACACCGTAATTTAAACTAAATATACACCCATTTAATATACCACAAGACCAAAGGTATTTTCTCCTATTTGGTTTTATATATTTAAATTAGCTCCCGAGAGCTACAATTTTGATCTACTCGTATGATTCGAAGGGTCTACTTGAAATACAAGAACAATTTTTGCAAGAGTATTAAGAAGGGTGCTATTACACGAAGCTGCGCCGGAGAGGGGGAGGGGGGCGCAAGTAGCGCACTCCTGTAGAATTAAAGAGGCTGGCTAGAGCAAGGTAAATAGGTGGTTCTTAGAACTTTTGACTAAACCGAGCTATATATGTATATATATATATATGTATATATATATATATATATATATGTATACATATATATATATGTATACATATATATATATGTATATATATGTATATATATATATATGTATACATATATATATATATATGTATATGTATATGTATATGTATGTATATATATATATATATATATATATATATATATATATATGTATATATATATGTATATGTAGACACACACAGAAGCGCAAATCAAAACGGTTTTGCACAATTCAAAACCTAAATTAACTAGTCTCAACTAAGTACACAAAAAAGCTACTCCCTATGTTTCATATTATAAGACTTTCTAGCATTGCACATATTCAATAGATGTTAATGAATCGAGACACATATATATGTGTCTCGATTCATTAACATATATATGATTGTGGGCAATGCTAGAAAGCTTATAATATGAAACGGAGGAAGTAGCCTATATTGAGATTTGCAAGCCTAGGGTGATGATAGCATAAATAATTTCTAGTATTTAAACTTACTTAAAGTAAATTGGAACAAATGTAAATTGCACAAAATAAAGGAGATAGGAGAAAAACATATTTTTCCACCCAATGTTTGAAAGCTTGCCAGTTTCCTACATCACCATTGAGGCAAGCCAACTTCACCGCTCAAACCATCGAGCCTCCGAACCCATTTGTTAAGGGATGGGCAAGGGGGGAGCCGGTCTCAAAGTGGTCTCCCAAGTCTCGATCACTAGTGGTAGCTCTTCTCCAATCTCTGGATAGCTGAGCTCCAAACCTTCACAATCAACTACCAGGCCTCCACAAACTCCTTTGAAGAGGTCACCGGGTCACGACCGCCACCAAGCCATCTAGGTGTGGGCAAACACCAAGAGTAACAAGTCAAGACCCACTTGACTCTTACCAAGTACCAAAGCTCAATCTCATGTACAAGCGCTAAGTAATATTGCCTCTACCACTCTCAATTTGCAACTAATGCACTATAGTTGCAACTCATGCACTAGTGGAGAGGAGAGGCCTCACATAAGCTCAAGCATGCACAATATGCTCACAAAGGTTGGCTCTCATGTATGTGCCTCCACTAGGACCAAGAGTAACAACCAAACCACTCAAACTCGCGGCGTTATATAGCCCACACCAAAAATTGTCAGTGACTCCCCCTCCTATTTTCTCTCTTTCTTAGTTGGCAGTGAGCATATCAAAACAGAAGGGCAGCAGCGATGACCTCAAGACCACCGCCGTCTCCACCATGGCCCAAGGACAAACTCCTTCCCATGGTGCCTTTGGGCATAGCGGTCATTCTCACCTTCTCCACCACCATCTACCCGCATGCCACAACCACACCCACATAGGGACCATCGTCAGGACGCTACTAGCGCTCGGTCTTCCTGGAGGGGGCACCGACGGAGGAAGATAGCCAGTGGAAGAAGGGAGCGTTGCTAGACGGTCGGGGCGTCAAAGGTGGCGTGAGGACGATGGCATAAAAAAAATTCCATTCACCTTCGAATCGCATCACAAACCGCCTCGCCTTGCATCAACGACAATAATCGCAAAGAAGCACAAGGACACTGCATCTGCCGCCGCCGCGACCATTCACTCACTCTTCATCACCTCCGATTCCCACCGCGTTGCAAGCCACCTTGCCTCGGACAGTGGCTGGCTTCCTTAGCTTAGCGATGTCATGACCTGGGAGGGCGTGTTGGTGCCGAGACGAACCGATGTTGCATCGCTAAGCTAAGGAGGTCGATTCGATGTCGAGCTCAAGGAATCATTCACGTAGGAGAAGATAGAGGCGCGGGCGAATCCACCGCCGCGA